GTCATATGTGGGCATCGATCCCATGCAGGTAAGCAGACCTGTGAGATGGCAAAGGGAGTATATCCAATGGTCCATTGGATCCAATGGATCCATTGGACATGCATATGTCCAATGGACATTCCACTTGTCCATTGGATCCAATGGACATAGAATATGTCCACTGGACATTTGGTAGTGCAGTAAATAAGTTATTTCGAATGACGTCATATGTGGGCATCGATCCCATGCAGGTAAGCAGACCTGTGAGATGGCAAAGGGAGTATATCCAATGGTCCATTGGATCCAATGGATCCATTGGACATGCATATGTCCAATGGACATTCCACTTGTCCATTGGATCCAATGGACATAGACATGTCCAGAGGACATTTGATTTGTCCATTGGATCCAATGGACAGGAATATGTCCACTGGACATTTGGTTGTGGAGTAAATAAGTTATTTCGAATGACGTAATATGTGGGCATCGACCCCATGCAGGTAAGTAGGCCTGTGAAATGGCAAAGGGAGTATGTCCAATGGTCCATTGGATCCAATGGATCCATTGGACATGCATATGTCCAATGGACATTCCACTTGTCCATTGGATCCAATGGACATAGATATGTCCAGTGGACATTTGATTTGTCCCTTGGATCCAATGGACAGGAATATGACCACTGGACATTTGGTTGTGGAGTAAATAAGTTATTTCGAATAACGTAAGATGTGGGCATCGACCCCATGCAGGTAAGCAGGCCTGTGAAATGGCAAAGGGAGTATGTCCAATGGTCCATTGGATCCAATGGATCCATTGGACATGCATATGTCCAATGGACATTCCACTTGTCCATTGGATCCAATGGACATAGATATGTCCAGTGGACATTTGATTTGTCCATTGGATCCAATGGACAGGAATATGTCCACTGGACATTTGGTTGCGCAGTAAATAAGTTATTTCGAATGACGTAATATGTGGGCATCGACCCCATGCAGGTAAGCAGGCCTGTGAGATGGCAAAGGGAGTATGTCCATCCACTGGACATAAATATGTCCAGTGGACATTAGAGTTGTCCATTGGATCCAATGGGATACGCATATGTCAAATGCAGGAATATGTCCACTGGACATTTGGTTGCGCAGTAAATAAGTTATTTCGAATGACGTAATATGTGGGCATCGACCCCATGCAGGTAAGCAGGCCTGTGAGATGGCAAAGGGAGTATGTCCATCCACTGGACATAAATATGTCCAGTGGACATTAGAGTTGTCCATTGGATCCAATGGGATACGCATATGTCAAATGGGCATTTGAATTGTGCGTTGAATGTATAATTGTCCGGCATATATGCAATGTGTAAATTATTTGTATGCCATTTGATAGTTACAGTTTACAGGGCCTATTAAGTGCTAGTTAAAACATGAGCAGTCGGTCTTTATCTGATATACAAGTGCTTAAATAACGACCCATCTTATGAGTTCATTGACGAAGTATTTTTAAAAATAAACATTGTCTAAGGCGCAAAAATCAAAGCTAAAGTTTATGTAAATCAGGATCGCATCTTTATCCGATTTACAAACATTGATTAAACATTCACTTATTTTTTAATGAAATATAAGATATTCAATATACGATTATCAGTTGGTTTATTCTGATAATTCTGTATGCGACTATAAACATAGGCGTGTATAAACTATTTCAGGACTGGTGTTTCTTTAGTAAGGAATTGTCTGAGAAGCGAAATACTTTTAAGCGACGCGGTTGCCAGTTACGTTAATCGCAGTTATGAACAGTGTAGCGAAGAATGCCCTTACGAGTGTAACTAATTAAACCGCATAATTAAGACGCATGCTGTTCAGAGTTCATTTCAGTGCTGAATGTTAAAATTATTATACAGTAGGTGAATTAATTTTGTAACTTATAAGATATGAAACTTTGTTTCACATTTATTTGTATGCTTACTGCTTAATTAATTTAACTATAGATCATTATATTTCATAATTACAAATTATAGCTGAATTAAAATTGCTATTTATTGGCATTGGCCGCATTTCGATTGCCCGATTGCCATCCGGTTGTTTCAAAGCATGCATGCCATTTGATATGGGATGTAGCACATCCATCGTCAACTTCTGTTCCGCATTGCGGATGTGTTTGTTTTGGTGACGCGTAAAGGCCGATAAAGCCACTTTTGTGGAAATAGTCACAACCTTGAGCTTCAAAAGATCATATTTGATTAATAGTTTGTGAGACCACCTAATTTCAAAATCTCGTACGCTTTTGAACGCCACGGCGGGCCCCTCGGAAGCGAGGCCGAAGCTTAAAAATCAATATTCGCTACAAGGGTTTTATAAAAATAATTTATTGTCTTCAATAATTACTTCGTGCACTGAGGAGGATGGCGTGAAAACTTTTTCCGGACATTAAAAAAGGGTTTAAAAAGTTTCTGGTCGAACACGAGTTAAACTAAGGTTCAAAAAACTTTCCCCCCACAAATTCCTATTACAACATGGGTCAGACCCTTTTTTTCGATCAATAAATGTGTTATACCATTATTTATAGCAAAAAACGTTCGAAATTATTTTTTAATTTTGAAAATTTTGGTGTCCCCCTTAACCTGGGAGGCCGGCGCAAATTGCCCCCAGTGCCCCCCCCCCCCTCTGGAAGGCCCTGAACTTTTGGAGAGTGGAAACACTGGTAGCTACTGGTAATGGTCTCTGAGATCTCTGTGATATTATATTTATAGTAATAGATGGCCAGTCTTGCTGAAGCAGAATCTTTTGAAAATACAACGTATTTCCCGCGAATATTGAGGGTAACAAATGTTCTAGATATTTCTTTTACAGCCGTACGTAGTTTGGTTGATTGTGTTCAGTATTTAGACAACCCAAAATTTTTAAAAACTTTATTTTTGTCTCATGTGTGTATATATATATTTTTGTTAAGATATATTCGGAGAAGATGCGGCGTGTTATGTTGTTTTTATATGCACAAACTTTTTCAAATTTGGGCACAACCTCGTTCCCAGGCTCTTTGCTCTTGGGAAGCAAAGACCCTGGCTGGGGCTGGTCACGTGGCACGCAGATTCTGCGTGCTAAAATAAATTGTGTCTATGGGTAGGTTTGTCGTGTTTTGAAAATTGCAACTTATGTGTTCTAGTTTCTGGTGATAAAAATGTAATTTGCAACAAGAAATCGTGAAATAAACTGTTTACTAAAAATTCTATTTATCATGACACGACTTCCTGCTATATCAATGTCATCAATAATGAGTGTTGAGTTACATTTCAAACAAGAAGCTGAATCATATTTCAATTGCAAGGAAAGAACACCACACGCTACCTACAGCTTGCGAAGTTGAGCACGCTTCATCGTAGAAGCTACTTTAATATCTTCCACACCGACCGACCGATCAAACGAACGATCTGGCCGTTAAATTAAAGTGTATCCTGTCCGATATTCAAACGGATTTTTTTTATAACGTGATCTTTTGGTTTCCGAAACATCGCCAACTGTTTGTAAATAATGCTACTGTATCTTGACTTGTGATAGCACAGGATTAAAACCCGTGTTCTTATGGACTATAAAATTCCTTGCATTGACATTGCTCTCTGGACATTGCTGAAACTCAACGAGCAAGACTTATTTCGAAGTATAGCTATCTGTTTTCACCAGTGTCAGTGAACTCTATTGGTTATCTTATGAACGCCATTCGTTTACGCCAAGACTTCTCCGTGCGTGCTATGGCTATGCGGTACAACGATAATATACAATACGATACATACAGTTAAACATCAGACACAAGTATTTTATTTTATTTTATAGTATATTTAATATATCATGTTTTACGTGCAGCAATCTTAGCAGGCACATTATAAATTTTATAAAGACCTTTATTGGCATTGCAATTGGCCTTTTATAGCAGAACAAGACGCCTACTCAGGCGTTCACACTGACCTGAAAATGATGATATGCGTGCTATGGTGCAATCTCGTTCCCTGAGCTTGCGGTGCTTGGGAAGGAAACGAAGGCTCTGGGATAATCCGTTTCAGGGAGGAATCTGATTGGCCGTTGATATGGAATGTGCAATTCAATCTTAGCCAGAATTCCTGGCTTTCGGCAACGGATTATCCCAGAGCCTTCGTTTCCTTCCCGATGATCGCAGGCTCGGGGAACGAGATTGGCTATGGTGTAATAGACAAGGGAATGGGGAGCAAGAGAGTTCGTATAGAACAGTTTCAGCGGTAGATTTATCCAAAGAAAATCAATAATTCGACAACAAAAAACAGAAGGCAGAAACTGTTTGAAACCTAAAGTTGCGCTTTTGCACAAGTAACAAACCTTCATAGGAAAAAAATAAAAATATAAAATGCCAGACATAGGTAACATCTCTTGTGCTTTAATCACATTTAGTTTAATGTCAGATACTTAGTAATAATATTTATAGATAGTATCTCAGGTTCACACCGAAAATCACTTTATTCAACTTTATCAAATCATGATCGTGGATCATTTCTGAGTAGTGAAGCAGTCAGATACAATATATCATTGTCTTCTTCACCTTTCAGTTGCCTTGAACGATACGTTTTTGAAGAATGGAGATTTTGCGCTACGCAGTATTCCGTGATCATGTTTCAATATTGATATAAGAATTAATGAGCACATGATAACAAATGAGCACATAATAACTATGAGTTGAGTTGTATTAGGAAAATGAAAACCATACAATAAATGTCTTAGTTCTTGTTGGTATTTCACTGAACGCACGCTTTATCTTTACTTGCGCCAATTCTAGTAGCTACTGCGCGAATTTTAATACATGTATTAAAATTCGCGCAGTAGCTACTAGAATTGGCGCAAGTAAAGATAGGTCCGCCGGAATGTTAGTAGCACTATAGCTATACGTACTGCGCGAATTTTAATACATGTATTAAGGTATAGTGCCGACATTGTGTAGTCGAACGCCAAACCTTTAACTTTTTCTAGTTTATATTATATTGTGAACTAAATGTTATTGTATTAGGAAAATGAGAACCATACAATAAATGTCTTAGTTCATGTTGGTATTTCACTGAACGCACCGC